TTCTGCGGTTCCGCCCCCCCCAACACCCCCTGCCACAAAGCACCGGCACTGAGCATGCACCAGCCGCGCCAGCGGGTTCCCCAGGTGTTCCCCGCTGCCCTGCTGGCACAGCTGGGGCAGGGGGCTGAAGCCAGGAGCGCGGCCACCCACAGACCAGCCCTGCTGCCCACCTCCCCGGGACCCTCCTGCATCAGCAGCCCATGTAGCAGACCTGGTGGGCTTAGACTGCGGCTGCTGGTGTGCATGAAAGGTGCTCCTGCATGCACAAGCTGCACCCATGGCCTCAGCCTGGAGCATCTGAAAGCCCCCAGTCGAGTTGAGCGCTTGCCCGGGGCCAGGCAGGGTTGAGGGGACAGCATGGCCCCTGGCGAGGCGGGGAGTTGGGTGCAGAGTCCCTCACCGTGTGCTGGGCATTGAGCTCCTCCAGCTGCTCAGCCTCCTCCGGCAGCGGCTCCTGGTCCCGCAGGCTCAGTGCCTCCTCGGCGGCCGTGATCCAGTCGATGAGCTGGGCCACCTCCTCCCGCTCGGCCGCGAGGCTGGCTGTCTGTGCCTGCAGCCGCTCGCCCTGCTGCTGGGCCCAGCTCAGCACCTGGGGGCATGGCGAGAGGAGCTGGGCCATGGGGGCTGGTGGGGGGGCACAGGGCTGGCTGCCTTGCTGCAGATCCCAGGGTCTGCAGCTCTGACCGGGCACCACAGGGCCATTGCTTCAGGAGGAACGAGTCTCTGCGTGGTCACCCCTGCCACGGGCCACCCCTGCCACGGGGCAGGCACACAGACCCCCAGCCAGCAGCCCTAATGACCATGGGGTCAGAACATGGGGCAGGGATGCGGGGGCTCCACGGCCCACCCATGACCGTGGGGCAGGACCAAGGTCCTGCTGGGCGGCTGGGGCAGGGCTGACGGCGCTGCCCATCATGTGCTGAGGGGCCTTTGCAGCTCCTGGGTGCTGCCGCTGGTGCTTTGAGCACCAGTCCTTGGTCCGTCCCTGCGGGCAGCGGCCGAATGTGCTGGTAGCCAAGTCTGCACCGCTGCGGATGTGCTGGCTGCCCTTGCAGCGGGGCTGTGCTGTGTCCTCGCTATCTGGAGTGAGCAGCCAATGAGGACAGCCCCGAGGGTGGCAGGACCCCGGAGCAGATCCAGATCAGATATCGAAAATCTCTGCTTGCTAAGGGTTTTGTGCAGATGAGGGATCAGCCAAATCTGTCAGACCCATTCAGGGAGAGCCGGGAGCGGGAGCACTCTCGCCTGCAAACCCACAATGCCAGGGAGCCTCCAAGCTGCTGCGGGAGCGGGGTCCGGGATGGGGCTCCCCGGGGACTCCCTGCCTGGGTTGCATGGCATCTCCCATCTCACGTGTGTGGAATGAGTCACCACCATCCAGGTGGGAACGGGGAGGCCCCAGGCGACCCCTCGTGTGGCCCCGGGACGGGGGAGCAGGGGCGGGGAGCGAGGGGCTGGCCAGGGCAGTGCATCCCAGTCACTCACAGAGGGCCAGGTCTGTGCAGGACAAGCTGAGCCAGGGCCGTCCGGTCACTGGCAAGACCCAGGCCGTCTGTGTCGGCCGGGGCCGAGCATCCCCAGCTCCCTGCAATGCACCAGTCAGGAGGGCTGCGCCAGAGGCGCCGGCAGTGGGAAAGGCATGGGGCTGTGCTCATCCGAGGCGTGGGTGCAGATCTGCTCCGTGCCCAGGGAGGGATGGTGAAGGGCTGCCCAGCTCACCTCCTGGAAGCGGCTCTTGACGACTGTGACCCAGGACTTGATGGTGATGACAGAGTCTGGGTGGCAGGTGGAGAGGATCTCTTCCCCCAGCGAGGTGATGCACTCCAGCTCCAGCTGCTGGCACTGCAGGGACTTCATCAGCTCCTGGGGGAGAGCATGGACCATGGTACTGCCGGCTCTCAGCCCCTCGCACCCCACTGTGCACCCCAGTGCCGCAGGGACCAGCCTCCACCCAGCCTGGTGTGCAGGCAGGGCAAGGATGCTGAGTGGAGCGAACACACTGTCTTTGCATGGCGTGCTTGGGACCCCAAATCTCTATGCCTCAGGGTGCTTGGAGCCCCAAAACCCGTGTCTTGGTGTGATGAGACCCAACATCCCACATCTCAGTGTGGTGCACCCTGTACCCTGACAGGGGCCCGCTGGAGCCAGCTGACCCTGGCAAAGGGACGTCCCGAGGCGAGGACGGAGCCACCCTGGAGGCAGGGGCTGGCGGGGGCTGGCAGGGACTGGCAGGGACGGGCACTGACCTGCAGCTGGTTCTGGCACTCCTGCACAGCCAGCTCCTCCTCGGGGAAGACACCGTACTTGAGGGTTTTCTCTGACTCGGAGAGGCGACTCAGGAAGGAGTGCACCAGGGTGTGAAACTCCTCCGCCTGCCATGGACAGCCAGAGACCCGCTCAGCACCCACCTCGTGGCCATGGCCCCGGGTCCTGGCCCCCTCAGCCCCCCGGCCAGACCCCAAGCCCTGCAACTGCTGCTCCTGCCTGGGGCCACACAAGCTCCCAGTGCAGCTCCAGGCCCCCGAGGCAGAGCTACTGCCAGCCCAGCTCGAACCCCACAGCAGGACAGAGACGATGCTCTTCACCCCACACCTGGGACACAATTTCCCTGACCCCCATCAGTACCTCCCCATCGAGCAGAGCACCCCACACAGCACCCTGCAATGCACGCAGACATCCTGCCCCGGGCACCCTGCACACGGGCACACCTGCAACAGGCGCCTGCAGCACCCAGACTGGCACCTGGCCACGGCACCTTGTGACACGGCCATGCAGAGTCCCATAGCCCCACACAGAGCTCCGCAACGCGTGGCCACCCACCACCCAGGCACCCCGTGCAGCACCCTGCAACACACGGCCACACACAGAGCCTGGGCACCCCACGCAGCACAGCCACACACAGCCCTGGGCAGCCCACATACCCACAGCCACCTGCAGAGCCTTCCCACGAGGATGCGCCAGCTGCAGACCCCGACCTTCCCACCCGAGGAGGCCCTGGGCCGGCTGCTGCCCACCAGCCAGCCCCCCCGGCTCGCCCGGCTCTCACCTGCCGGAGCGCAGCCTCCAGCTGGGCCTGCTTGGAGACGGAGAGCTTGCAGACCAGGTCCCAGCGTGTGCTCAGCTCCTCCATCTGCTTCTGCAGCCACTGGGAGTCGACGCTGCTGCTGCCGCGGGTCAGGTCCCGCACCGAGCGCTTCAGCATCTTGATGCAGCTGGCTCGCTTGCCCAGCTCCTTCTGGAAGACCTGGAGAGAGGGCAGGAGAGGGTGGGAAATGCCGGGGGGGTCCCAGCACCCTGCCTGGCCCCCGCTACTGTGCAAGATCCCCATGTGCCCCAGGCCCCCTTGCAGCAGTGGGGTACATGAGGCACCCCAGCACTGCCCCAAGGACCGGGAGCACAGGCTCCGGTCAAGCAGGGTCTGCTCCGGTGGGCAAAGCCCCATCCTGCGCCTGGCTCCTGTCCTGGCCAGGGATGCAGGGTGGGCAGGGCTGGTGCAGAGCCCAGCGCTCCCCAGGGGCTGACGCAGGGCAGGGACCTCCCCAGGCAGCTGGGGACACCCACCTTGTGCTTGTCCATGAGGTCACTGACCAGGTCCCGGTCCCCTCCGACAGGCACCTCCTCACTGAGTTGTGGCTCAGCCCGGTACAGCCAGTCCATGAGGGCCTGCAGTGCGTCCGTGAACTTGCCCGAGAAGAGCAGGTTCTCCTCCAGCTTGTGCTGCCTGCAAGGAAGGGCACAGGCAATGCTCAGCAGTGCCCAGGTGCAGGGGCTCAGCCCCGTGGTGCAGGGAACAGCCGCCCCATGGGGAGCCCCGCAGCGTAGCTCTCAGTGCCTGGGCTTGCCTGTCGCTGGGGACGAATCCTGGCTGCACCCCCAGGGGCCAGAGCCCAGTGGAGCTGGGGCAGGAGGTCCCAAAGCAGGGAGCGGGATGCCCAGGGAGGAAGGGCAATGCCATGCCCCCTGCCTGGGACCCTCAGGGCAAGCAGAGCACAGGCATCCCATCCCATCCCAGTCCATCATATCCCATTCCATCCCATCATATCCCACCCCGTCCCCACTTCACCTCTCCACAGCCCGGCTGCACAGCGCGTCCCAGCGCTCCTTCAGCTCCCCCAGCAGCTCCTCCAGTGGCTGCAAGTCCTCAGGGAGCCGGGCTCTCTCCCGCAGCGCCCGCCCGCTCCGCAGTGTGGCCTCGTACACCGGCCGCTTCAAGCGCAGCACCTTCTGGAAAGCCTGCGGGCAGAGGGGGTGAGCCCACCCAGACCCCCAGGAGGTGGGTGCTGGCCCCAGGGCAGGCGGCCTGCGGGGAGCCTCCTGCCTCCCCGAGTGCTGCGGGGCAGTTTGGGGTGCCAATGCCCCTTGGCATCTCCACAGAGATGGCCCTGGAAAGGCGTCCGACCACCATGGCACCGAGTGCACTGGGGCACTGCTGTCCCGCTGGTAGCTGGGGAGCCCCCTCCTCTGCCACCCCACAGCCCCCCAGCTCTGCTCCCCGCTGCCCACTGAGGCTGGGACCCCCTCACCACAGGGCTGGGGAGCGGGGCAGGCCCCCCACCTTGTGCTCAGCCAGCTGGCACTTGATCTCCTCCTGGCTCGTGGCAGTGTCCTGCAGCACCTCCAAGCTCTGCTCCACCTCGTCCATCCAGTCCAGGAGCAGCCGCCGGGACTCGCTGAACTGAAACAGAGGGGAGGGATGCATGGAGGAGGGCTTGTGCACAAAGCAGGGGCCGGGGTGATGCGGACAATGAGCCACAGCAGCCATGAGACAGAACTGTATGGCCCGTGCACCACCGCGGCACAAACCATGGGCCAGCATGGCAGGGTCCCCGTGCCAGAGCCACATGACCTGTGCACCGGCACAGCTCCTCGCAGGACCCGTGTCCCCTGGCACCACGGACCAGTACCTGCTTGGTGCGCTTGCGGGCCTCCTCCAGCGCCGCTCCTCGCTCCGACGTCCGCTGCAGCACCTTGCCCAGCCGCTCCCTGGCCGTCAGCACCAAGTTCTGGATTACGGCGCCGTCCTGACTCCTGCCGCACGCCTTCAAGCCGGCTGCGAGATGCAACTGCCTCCAGGCCGCTGAGCTTTTCCCCGTGGGCATTTGCCTCCTTCACCAGGGCCTACAGGAGAGCGGAGGCAGCTAGAGGCGCGCTGATGGCCCCAGGGCAGGAGCAGAGCCTCTGAGCGCAGCCCACACTTGCCTTGTGCTCCTGGATCTGCGCGGTGACAGTGTCCAGGACGAAGCTGGGTGGTGCAGGAGAGCCGAGGAGCTCCTCCGCGTGAGCCACCCAGCGCAGCAGCTCCTGCACAGTGCCATGAAACTCGGTGGTCACTGTCAGCCCCTCGGCCAGGCGCTCCTGCAGGCAGAGCAGAGGTGCTGATGGGGATGGGCATCTGCAGCTCCCAGAGCCAGGGCACGGTCAGCACCCCCGAGCAGGCAGCATGTCCCCACCCCGCACACCTTCCTCTCCTGGGCCTCAGCATGGACGGTCTCCCACTTCTGCTCCAGGATGCGGAGGCTGTGCTCGGTGCTGCAGGGCCGGCTGGGGGGGGA